GATAACGTCTGTTATGTGTTGTACTTAATTGTGTATATTATATTTTAGGAATATTCCTTAATAACTCTTTTGCGAAAGTTTGGTGGCCCTGAAAAGGGCCGTTTTGTTGGGCTGATGTTGTTGACAATGATGGAACGGGCGACCTTGTTGGACGCTTATATAGTAGAACAGAAAATATCAGAGGTGTCAGATACTCGCATCTGATGTCTCGGTTGGAGAAAGTATAAGAATATAAAAAGATCAATCGATTTTCACCATCTTTAGACAATGGTTTACTTTTAACCATTTTTCAATAGTTTACAGAATGAAATCAATAGTTTTGAAACATTCAGCAAATTGCTAGAAATATTTCCAATCGATTGATGCCATTATCTCGTCTATCGAGAGACGTTGAGTTATTATCGTTCAAAATCTTTTAATTTTTCGTAACGCATCCAAAATGACTGTTTTCAATTTTGTACCCCCGTATGTTGCCGAAAGACGTTATCCAACGTCAAAAAAATCATTCAACCGTACAGTCCTGCATCGTTTGATGGTGCACTTCCCGAACCATCCGGAAGAAGGGGATCTTTTCGGGAATGATCGAGGTTACAGCTGTGCAAAATGCGAAATGTTATGAGTAACTGCTTGCAAGCCATCGGGAGAGAATCGCCTGGAAGAACGCTGATTCGCATAGCGCAACTATCGAAAGATAAACAAACTTTGACGTTTAACATTTTGTACACGGTAAGAAAAAAGTACCCAACGGAAAGTTCGCTTTTACCTACTTTTGACTAGTTTGTCTCCTTTTCTCCTTCTAATGTTGTCAAAAACAGAGGAGCAAAACCACCCAACAGGGGTAGTAAAGTGTGGGAACCCAACGTTGAGTATAATCATATTTACCTACTGTTGGGTACAACTAACTTACTTTTGGTTAAAAAGCCAGTGGAAAGTTCCATACGACTGCACACAAGTAAATGAAAATTACTTTGTCCCACTTAATACCTACTTTTGGGTTCCTGCACTATAGTGCCAAGATGAGTGAAAAGAACTTAATTTTGGGTGCTTTTTTTCTAACCGTGTAGGCAACATTGCCGCTAAAAAATGCTGCCATAAATCTGAACGGATTGGGATCAAACAAAATGGCTTTAGATAAATACAATACAGCCTACAAGTTTTCTTCATAAAAGCCAATTCAAACCTTATGAGTTTGTTAAGGATTTCTTGAAAGCAAAATAACTTTGTCACAAATGGCCCATAAAAATCAACTTTTATGTCTCCGCCATATTACAATTATTTCGATTGTTTTTTTTTACAATCTTCGATTTTCAATCTATATTTCCTTGGATATAACTTTATTTTAGCTAATTTAGCATGAGAAATATTTAGAATGCAAAAATCATGAGAAACAAAAATCTCGGCTAAACTTAATGATGGATTTGAAGAATATATTTTATTTTCTTAATGTAAAATAATTATTAAAATCTTCGGTAAAATCGATGTTTTCCGTGTGCGGACTCAAGTTTTTCGATGTTCTCACGTGCATTTCACACAAAATTTTAAATGGCACCTAAAACTAGGTCATTTCATGAGAACTATTTTATAATTTTGGAAATGTGGCAGGATTTTTATACGATCAGTTTTTATTTTAATTATTTTGATGAGATCGGATGGTATTAATGAATCCTTTTTTATCTTGATTGTTGTTTTTCTAGTGAACTTAGCAAGTGGCTAGGGTAAATGGCTCGGATAATGCTTTTAATTGTAACCAAATTGCTTTTATTGTGACATAAATACGGTTTTGAAATGGATTTCAATGCGTTTATCGTACAACCATTTTGCAGTAAATCAATCTTGAAGAGCTTCGAAAATACACCTTTCAGATCCTTCTCCAGGGTGGGTCAACTAGACAGATTCTAGCATCAATGAGGTTTTGGTGAATGCATCAATGGCAAAGCAATCTTGACCAGGGTTTTATGAACGTTGTTTTATAGTAGCTTTGTAGTATTTCATAAAACTTAAAATGTTACTTGGGATTTCATCAAGAGTAAGATACCCAGCCTTAAGAAAATTCACTTTTTCTCAGATGGATCAGGCAGTCAGTACAAAAATAAGATGACAGCTTTTTATTTGTGCCTCATGAAAAAGGATATTGGTATAGATGCGGAGTAGAACTACAAATAAAAAAAAATAAAAATAAAAAATTAATGAATTTTATTTCAAACCAGCCATGTGCATAGTTGGAAACCATAAGATTTTCTTATCAAAGCATTGATTCTAGTCCAAATATGGACTAGATATGGAGTTCCAAACAGTCCGTGAAAGATATACTACCCAAATTTAAAATAAAAATATTCTATTTGAATTCCTATGCTATGAATCACTGTAGTAATTATTATTTACACATAACGCAAAAGCAATCAATAGATTTGATTCAAGTTTCTATGAATGTCATGGTAGTCAAGGATCAGAAATTGAAATAAGTAAGTAATGTAACCATGTTACATTCGATATGTATCAATGGAGACGCAGGGTAATCTGGTCGTATTGGAGTTATAAGCGAAATGTCTAAACATGATGATTTCAAAAAATCGCAACTCAAAAACGAAGAAAAATACATCGCCTGTTTTTTTATTAGTTGTGTATAAAAGCCTAAATTTTCAAAAATAAAATATAAAAACGTGTTACTCCCATTGTCTACAAACCATGAAAACCATAAAAAACAAATGCAATCAAAGTTCTTCTATACAAAACTCCAATTTACAATATTCACCTTGGCTGTTGACAGCAGGAACTCCGAATGGTCCAGCGGTGGGCTCTTCGGGTGCGGGTTTATACAGTTTGAGGTAGCAATTTCTGCATATGAAGGAACTGCCATCTACTTAATCTTTTTTCTTCACCTCATGAACTTGAAGAGCTTGGGTAAGATTCCTCTTTAAAGCATTTGAAACCCACAAACAACAACAAGAACACTTAAAATTCATCTTTTATAAAACACTGGCTGTATAGAATATCTTTGGATTAACAGAGCTTTTGTTTCCTTACTGATTATTTCACTTCTAAGTTCATCCTTAAATATACCACCATGCATTGTACCTACGAACGAACACCTTACCTACCAAGTTTTCCGTATGATTTTAGCATGTGCTCTGTCTAGGTAGCTATTTACTTGGTGAAGTATTCACTTTGAATAAACAATCCTATAAAAGCAGAAGCAGATAATTAATATGGGATATGTAACTATGTCAACTATGTACCAATGGAGACGCAGGGTAATCTAGTCTAGTATTTCATTTGATATTTTAATCATTCAAATCGGTTCTATGGTTCAAAAGTTATGATTTTTAAAAAAATGCAATTTTTCGAAAAAATAGAAAAAAGACAATTTTTTTGACCACCCTAACATGGAAATGGTCACTCTAATGAGAAAATAAAAAAATACGGGTCTAATATTTTTCGATATGGAACAAAACTACCAATTGTTATGAAATTCTGAGAACGACTATATCGTTTTGCTATGGAATCGCTGTATATATATAGTTATGTACGGACCTGGCCACCACTCCTAGCAACCCAAACCCGATCCAACAGAGACACCCAGTATCAACCAACAAGAAGCTGACGCAGCACAGCACATCCGGCCGTTCACCTGATCCATCGCACCAGCTACCCACGAGGCGCCAACCGGCGGGCACCGAGGCACCAGACGACGAGTCAGCAGTCATCGAGCACCTATGGCCAGCACGTGGACATGGCGTCTTGCTTAGATAGCACATTCTAGTTAGGACCTTACGAGGTAGTTAGGTTCAGTAGGCAGTCAGGGAATTTCAATCTTAATTCAATCGTGTGAACTTCGCGAATAAATCTGTACTCTAGGACTAAGTGAATCTTTTTTAAAAAGTGAATTATGTGAAACCATCCATAATTATATATAGATAGATATACGAGGTCAATAATCAGCCGTGAATAGGTAAATAATATATTAGGAAATTTATTTCCTAAATTCTCTGCGGGGAGGCAACCCTGTTTGCATTGAGGAGCAATGAGTTGGTATCAATAATGGGTTTTTGAAGAGTTTTAAAGTCAATCATCACAGAATCCTCTCTCTCTTCAAACCGTAAGACAATGTCTACTTTTGACAAATTGCAAATTATACAAATTTTCCACCCGCAAGATATCAGACATCCACCTTTCAAGTGATTTAAAGAAAACAAATAAACCATCCATGCACCGTGTTGCTACCTAGCAATGGTCATCCGAGCAATCGCTCCACTGCCGTCTGATTTGATGATTGATTAGCCGATTAATTGATGTTTCAATTACACACGGGACCGCCTTTGTCAATTATCATTTTTGTTCCATCAACGTTTTGACGATGATATGTAGGCACCATCCGAGAGTATGGCATTCGGCGCTAGTAGCAATGCATCCGTTCCACCAATAGAAGCTATTTGTCACCACAAAAAAGAGGTCAATCCGAATCAATTGCGGACATGCTCTTTGAACCCTCTCGGATCACGACAGCCCACCGTATCTCCGTCATCTATCAGCACCCAAACCCTGGTTCGGATTATAATTATTATTTTAAAATCTAATTACCCACTTCATGCCTCGACGTTGAACAAGTGTGACGTCACGAACCGCAGAGCGTACAGAATCAAGTGTGTTGGAGTTTAATTGGTTGCGGGTGCTAACGATGATTAAGTGTCGTAATAACCATATCCATAGTCTTATGTAGTAGGTACAGTGTTGTTGATTGTTTTCGGGAAATTGGTGTCGATCTCGCGCACAGCAATTCAGTCAGAGGATGGTGGTGACAAACATGTTTCAATAAACTGTGTGCCACCACTACCGACCGATTAATTAGTTAATTAAGCAACATCAGGGTCAGGAGGAGAGCTGGAATTTATTTTCCATTCCGGGCGGTGTTATTACAAGACTTTTTACGCGTTGTTTATGGTGAGATTTCAGCATTCCTCGAGGCGGAGGGGAACTTAACTAATTCTAATTAGACTACATGATTGAGTAGTTCACGGAACGAGTTTTAATTCATATATCATACACATCTGCTTAATTTTAACTGTTGTTGTATATAATTGTTCTTACGACGCTAGCTAATGACTCCGGGTTATGACACAGATGAACTCGATCGAAGAAGAAAAGTATCTTATAGGTACTATCAAACTCTGTAGTGATGTATGTATGTAATGCTAATCTTTCGCACAGCTTTCACAGTTGATTTTTTTCTTTTTATCAAACTAGGTTTAGATCTTTTATGAGACTCATTTTTCATCCATGAAAGTATGATTAAATTACACTCAATCCCAGCAGTGCAGACCGTAAAATAAATAGGCTTTTATTTCTTAGAAATGGATGGATTAGAAAATAAGCATGTCAAAAGGGAACTTATGATTCTTAATTTTGCTTTGTGAAACAGTGAAGGAACAGCACCAGGAAAACAATCGTCACGGTTCCAATTGGTGCCCGGCTGGCAGCTCCACTGTAGCAAACTTTTCTCACCGCAATCGTTGACAGGTTGCGCCTTCTCAGTAGATTCCGGATGCTTTGGTTTTCCTACAACGGGACATTCGAGTTAAAAAAAAATGTGTCTTTTTATTTAATCTATAATAACAAAGGTTGATTTTTGTCTGGCACTGCTTACCTCCGGTGACAGTCCCATTGGCTGCCTCGAGAGCACTACCGAGAACAGCTGCCCTCCTGGCATGCTCTGGCAAAAAGTCAACACCAACTGATTGTTGATCGCCTTCAGCACCTGAATCGTTCCGGTGAACTGTATGTACGGCAACTGAACCATAGACCCGGACTGGGGCGCCGAAGCGATCCAAAATCCCGGTCGCGAAGTATTGAACCGCAAGGTGTAATCCAGCATGCTTTCCTTCTCGTCCCAGATCAAGCGAAGATAGCGAACGTTTGCCTGCTGTTGCCGATAGTTGTGCTGCTGCTGTTGCTGATGTTGCTGCTGAGCCTGGTAGCGTCGGTTTCCATCCGCATCGTGGCGACTGTGGCTTCGATCCCCCGGATATCCGTACGATGTGCCAAATCGAACTTCCGGTCCAATGTCCTGATGCTGGTTCTCGCTGGTCGCAGTCTGCGGGAGTAGAAGGACAAGCACAATTAATTAATCGAGCGATTTCGTTGCGTGTGGCAATTATTATGCAGTGTAGATTAATGGAGCAAACATGTGTTCTCTACTAACCGAATTGGTGATATCAGCTAGGTGAATCACCACACACGTGTCGTAGATCGTTTCGCCTTCTTCGCTGCCGATATGAGTGATCACTTCACTGCCGTACCATAGGCCCATGATCTGTGGGAGGAATAGAGTGGAATAGCAACGGGAGAATAAACATCAATTAATAACAATATTCGCGTCAAATCAATTTCTAGTGCTTAGAAGTGGTTGTTTGTACTTGAGCAATGCCAGGCCAAATAGCAAAGAAAATTAATTTCAGACACGATTTTCTCCGATTTGCATGAAACTTTGCAAAATTGTTTGTTATGGTAAATCAGTGACATAAGCTAAAATTCGGCCATTTTTAATCCCGTGTTTGGCGTATTCAATACTTTTCAACTAATTTACTTACTTAAGGGGGGAGTACACTTTGATTTTTCAAAAAAATGCATTTTTTTGGGCTTAAAATGTCTCTTGGGATGTATACTTTAATTTAGAAAAGACTCCAAATCCGCCAGAATATTCCTTACCGCTTTACGAAGTGATTTCCTAAAACATGTACCGGCGCGCTGAGAGAGCATCTTTATCTTTAAACGCGTTTATCTCGAAACGGGGTTTTTCAAACTGGCGTGGGAAATAGCTCTAACCAGTTATTATCAAATTTGGATATCGCCTAGGTTTTCTTGTTCAGAATTAAATTCTGCTTAGAAATACGCAACCACATTTTCGATTTTGTCAAAAACGGATTTTTAATCCACGATTTTGTAAGCATTTTTAGGGTGAAAAATGAACTTTTTTTTTTCCTAAGGCCACAACTTTTTAAAAAATTAATTAAAAAAAATCGGAATACGTATAAATACTGCTGCGATGTCCTGCCGGATTCCAATCCAGCGCTTGCTTGCAGATTTCGTTTCCGCCCCCTCGAAGTGTGTGGCCGACCCACCTCCACTTTTGCTCTCGAATTTCTGTTGCTATCGGCTTCTGATGACATCGACGATGGAGCTCGGCATTCGAGTTCCAGTTGTGAGGCCACCACGCACGAATTATATACCGCAGGCATCGGTTGATGAAGACCTGCAGCTTTTGAGTGTTCTCCACTGATACACACCACGTCTCGCTGGCGTATAACAACACAGATTTCACGTTCGAGTTGAAAATTCGGATTTTGGTGCGTTGACTTATCTGGTTGGATCTCCATACGTTTCGTAAGCTCGCAAAGGCAGCCCTAGCCTTCTTGATTCGTGCACCTATGTCGCTCTTGGTTCCGCCGTCCGACGCTATTTGGCTGCCAAGATATAGGAAACTTTCGACCTTCTCCACTGCTTGCCCCGCTACCGTAAAGTTGGAAGGGTTGCCCTTGTTGATATCCAACGATTTGGGCTTGTTGACGTTGATGGTGAGACCCACCGCAGAGGAGCGTTCGGCTAGGTCATTGAGCTTACTCTGCATATCAGAGCGCCGTTGTGCTAGTAGAGCAACATCATCAGCCAAATCGAAGTCGTTGAGATGCCAAAGCAGCCCACGGTTCGGTACACGGTCAATTGCACCTACCATGATCTCATCGATTACGATGAGAAACAGTAGCGGTGATAGTATACATCCTTGTCTCACACCAGCCACTACCCGCATAGGGTCGGACAAGGCTCCGTTATGCAGAACTCTGCACGTGAAAGCCTCATACTGCGCTTCGATGAGGTTGACGATTTTATCCGGGACACCCTTGCGTCTCAGGGCGCCCCACAGATTCTCGTGATTGAGACGGTCGAAAGCTTTTTCGTAGTCAATGAATACCAAATAAAGGGACTCTTGGAATTCATTGGCCTGCTCCAGGATGATGCGGAGCGTGACAATATGGTCCACACAAGATCTTCCGGCACGGAATCCTGCCTGCAGCCGTCGGAGAGTCTCGTCGATCTTCTCCTGTATCCGATTCAGGATAACTTTGCAAAGAACTTTGAGAACAATACACAGTAACATGATGCCTCGCCAATTGTCGCACACAGTCAGATCCCCCTTCTTTGGGACCTTCACTAAGATGCCCTCCATCCAGTCGGTCGGAAAAGTCGCGGTGTCCCAGATATTACAGAATAGTTGATGCAACATTTGTGCGAATAGCATGGGGTCAGCTTTGAGAATCTCCGCTGATATGCGATCGACCCATGGAGCCTTGTTGGATTTCATGCTTCGGATAGCTGCTTCAATCTCCTGCAGTGATGGGGCCTCGGAATTGACGCGAGTGATGCGCCGCACCCTAGGCGGATCATGCCGAGATGTTGATGGCTCGTTGGCCGTCGAAACTTGAAGAAGTTGTTCGAAGTGCTCAAACCAGCGTTTCAGCTGGTCAGTGGGGTCGGTAAGCAATTGTCCAGTCGTGTCCTTCACTGGCATCCTCGGGTTCATCCTTGCTCCACTCAGGCGTCGTGAGATATCGTAGAGGAGGCGTATATCGCCAGTGTTTGCGGCTTTCTCCCCTTCGTTGGCCAGGGAGTTCACCCACGCTCGCTTGTCCCGTCTGCAAGAGCGCTTGACTTCCTTCTCTAGAGCCGAGTACCGTTGACGGGCTTCGTTCTTGGCTCCTCTGGGTCTCGCCCGCTCTATCGCGGCTTTTGCTTCTCTACGCTCCTCAATCTTCCGCCAGGTTTCATCTGTGATCCACTCTTTTCTTTGGGTGCGCAGCTCACCCAAGTTGTTATCGCTTATTTCTATAAAGGCATTCTTGATGGCCGTCCATTGTTCTTCTACGCTGCCACCTTCTGGAACGTCCGCAGCTCGAGTCTCAAGTTCTTCAACAAAAGACCTTTTTACCGCTGGATCTTCAAGACGGCGTGTGTTGAACCGCCGCCCGAGTCTCTCCTCCCGTCGCTGGATCCGCGCCATGCGTAGGCGGATTTCGCCGATTAGAAGGTGATGGTCAGACGCGATGTCGGCACTGCGTTTATTCCGGACATCAAGAAGGCTCCGTCTCCATTTTCGGCTGATGCAGATGTGGTTGATCTGATTTTCGGTATGTCCATCACGTGAAACCCACGTGACTTTGTGCACTGGCCGATGGGGGAAGAGCGAGCCCCCGATCACCATGTCGTTATTGCCACAAAATTCTGCAAACAGCTCACCGTTCTCGCTCATTTCGCCTAGACCATGGCGTCCCATGACACGCTCATAGTCCGTGTTGTCGGAGCCGATCTTCGCATTGAAGTCGCCAGTGTAGATCTTGATGTCACCCTTTGGACTGTAAAAATTCTCCTTGTCCTGTAGCTCGGCAGCATCGGTTGGCGCATAACATTGGATTATGGTAAGGTTACGAACCCGTGTTCTAAATCTGGCAACGATTATCCTATCATTAACAGGCTCCCACTTGATGAGCGCAGCACTTGCCTGGACGCTAAGTAGGAGACCAATTCCACGATGGCGGGGAGCGTTTCGAATATCAGAGTATAGTAGTACCTGTCCCGACGGCAGTTTGTGTTCTCCAAAGTTTGGCCAATGAACTTCACTCAGTCCCAGGATTTCTAGCTTCATGCGTCGCGCCTCGTTGGCGAGTTGTGCCAGTTTACCCTGCTGGGCTAACGTCAATACATTCCATGATCCAATTCGTGTCCGTTGTTTTGCGCTAAAAGTCGTTGCCGTTAAATCAGTTCGATGTCTTTCTCTGTTGGTTTCTGTAACAATTGTAAAGGTTTCAGAGACAGTAGGTGGTTGGCCTAAGGTCTCCTATCCGCCGTGATGGTGCTGCCATCTTAGGTGTAGCTTCCGGGGAAGAGCATTTCTTATTCAGCCGCTGGATGCCAGTCAGACGCTGTTTGAGCCGCACCTCCATAGTGAACAGACACTCGGGTTGGCGAAGCATTTCCCCTATCACCGTGCTATGGCTACCGCGCCAGTGTTCGCGTCGCACCTCCTCACTCTGCTATTGTCGGATTGACAACATTGCCCAGGCTACGCCAACCAGAGCTGTGTCCATGTTTCAGCTGGCAGTCTTTTGTGATCATGTGACTCGTGGAGGCATGAGGTAGGAACTTGTGAAGACCGGAGCTAGGTATATCGCTCCTTCCAGATTGTCACTCACCATTTTGTAGCCCAACTACAAATCATATCTCGAAAATCCGGAGAACTTCGATATTAGGGCGTAATTGATTTTGTAAACAAACATTCCAATCACCGATTTATCGCGAATTAAAGCTCAATTTCAAAAACTAATAACACAGACAGGTAGAGGGATGATTCTAATTTAATTTGGTATAGTTTGTTTGCGAGATTAAGCTTTCAGTCGTGAGAAATCGGTGATAGACGTGTTTGTTTACAAAAGCAATTACGCCCAAATCTCATAGTTCTCCGGAAATGTCACTTCCAATCGAAATGGCGTCTGAGACAAAGTTGTAGGAAAATATACACGGAAAAAAATGCAAGTAATTTTGGGTAAAAATCCAAAAAATAGTGATTAAAACTGAATATTATTTTTATTATATTCTTCATTAAGAAGCATATACAAAATGCTACCTTCATTGGCGTAGCTAGAAAATTTTACTGGAGGGGGCCTACACAGAAAAAAAAAGTTGTTGAATATTACATCCAAACTGCTGCAACCAGGTCAATCCATCATCGGTTGTGTAATATAACGTTGTACGATGTACATCGATTTTGCGAACAAAATTACATCCAGTGATGTAATATTGTATCTGCTTTTTGCTATGACATCATTATTTCATACATCAGCTTGAATTACATTGATCGATATTACATTTTTTTTTGCTGTGTAGGGGGGCCTGTGGAATTTTTTGATTTGTTAAACTACGGTTAAATAGAAGCTCTGAAGCTGCCATTCAATCAAAAGGCGTCAACGCTGTTTGTTATTTTGACGTAGACTACGTCTTACGGGAAGGTACTGGGGGTAAATCGAAAATCTAAAATTGCGACCGTCACGAAAAGATGTAATTTTTTGAACGCTACAAGCTTTGTAATTTATAGATGAAATTAAAATCCGAATACACCAATCGATAGGAAATACCTTTCGTAAGCTGTTGCAATAAACTTTTTTTTAAATTTTTCATAAAAAAAACTGTTTTAAAAATGGACAAATAAAAAGTGATAATTTTATCACTGTTTTCATGAAATAAACGTTCTTCCCAAACCCAGTC